GGGACACACGGAACAGCGGGTGAAAGTGGGGGTCAGGGGGAGCTGGTCGCATCCCGCTCCCCCAGTCAGGGCGGCCGTGGGCCAGGGACTCGGGTTGGGCCCAGCCTCACCAGCGCCGTCTGCTCCTGCAGCTCTTCCATGTGCTCCAGCACAGCGTTCTTGGTTTCCGTGTCCTCCAGCAGCGCGCTTACGTCGAAGACGTTGTCCAGGTAGGCCTGGATCTGCACCCGCAGCTTGTCGCTCTCGGTGGGCCGGAGCCTCTGTCCCGGGAGCAGGCGTGGGTGAAGTTCGCAGGGACCCAGAGGAAGAGGCTGAGACCGGCCCACTTCCTTCGTTTTTTATTGAGATATGATTTACATGCTGTAAAACCCGCCACGTTAAAGCACACGGTCTGTCATCCTCAAGGTCACATGGCCTTCACTTTGGCCAAACCCCGGAGTGTCATCACCCCAGAAAGAACCACCACCACCCCGGAGGTGAGGTGCCCCCTGGGCCCAAGTCCCAGTGCACCATCAGCCGCCGCCGCCAGCCCTCCTCCCAGTCCCTGGCAACCGCTGATCCTCTTTCTGTCTCAGGATTCATCCATCCCCGATGCTTCCTCTAATGAAACCGGCCGCCTGGTCTTCTTCACTCAGCGTGATGCTCTGCCTCAGCCTCAGCCTCAGCTCCGGAAAACCCTGCCTGCTCTTCCCCTGTATCAATCTGCCCTCCAAAGGCTGGGCTCCTGCAGGAGACCTCAGGCCACAGATCCCAGTGTGAGCTGCCCCTTCGTTCTGCACTGGGGACAGTGACCTAACTAGGGGACTGGTGGCCATCATGTGCAGGGGCTGTCCCACACCTCTCTCACCGAGACTCTGAGCCTCCTGTCTGACAGATGGGAAAACTGAGCCTCCGAGGAGCAGCCCAGCTGAAGGCTGGGGACCTGGAAGCAGCATAGCCAGGGCTGGAACCCAGGCCTTCAGCCCCTTGGCCGCACTGCAGTGGCTCGGTGTCAGGGGTGGCGAGAGGGGTGCGGGGCTCACCTCCAGGTACAGGTCCAGGCCCAGGTTCGTGAACTCGTATTGCAGGAAGACTCGGAAATTCATGTTCTCCACCGAGTGCACCACAATGTTGATGAACTGCATGCAGGCCACCTGGGTGGACACAGGACAAGGGCACCTCGATGCCTCCACCCCTCCCGCCAGCCCAGCCCGGCCTGCGCTCAGTGCCCCTGCTCACCATGAAGTCGATGTTGCTGTCCTCCTTCCGGAAATACTCCATCAGCTTTTCAAAGCGATGCTGCTCCCCACACACCTGTGGAGGGGCTGTGGCACTCACAGGGGAGCCGGTGACACCCTCTTAAGCCATCACTTGGCCGCCACCCCTGTGGCTCCACAGGGTCCTGCACAGTTGCTGCTAAATCAGCCCATATCACTCTCCCCCACATTCTACTCCCCCTTCGCTTCCCACAGCCCCGAACTCACCTCTCTCAGCCACACTCCTACCTCAGGGCCTTTGCACTTGCTGCCACACCTAATCCCCTGCCTCTCCCAATTGTGCACAAGTCTCACCTCCTCAGTGAGGCCTGTGCTGACCATCCTGCAACTGGCTCCCTCTCCCGGCAGCCTCTCCATTTCCCTGTAGTATGCATCACTTTCTAACATTTGCCTATTTACTGTGTTTATCTGTTATCTTCCATCTTCCCTGCCTCTGAGGCACAGTAGCTCTCTGCAGCAAACACTCATTAAAAAGGACACATAGCTCCTCCCACCACGGCCCTGCCTGCTGGCCTGGCCCAGGGCCTCCTCTGAGGCCCCTCCTTTGGAACTCCCCACCCCACTGTCCTCGGACTTTGTTAGGATGGGGCTGCAGTACCTCCTTGAAGTTGTCAAAGGCCGAGAGGATAATGTCGTGCCCTCCCCGAACTAGACACACGGCTGCCAGGAGCTCCAGCACCAGAGCCTTGGTTCTGGGGAAAGAGGGGCTATGGGCCTGGGAACGGGCAGGTGCCACATGAGGTACAGGGGGCAGCACCTGACCGTGGAGGGCTGTGTGGCCGAGGGGCCTGGAGCTCACCTGGGGTTCTTATTGTTGAGGCTCAGCGCGATCTCGTTGACACAGGCTGGATGGTTCATGACAAGGCTGAAGCCAGACTGGGGGCAGAGGCCAGGTCAGCAGGACCCAGGGTCTGCACCCAGCACCTAGGGCAGTCAGGCCTGCCCTTCTAATGCCCCCAGTTTAGGACGTTCTTCATGTCCAGCCCAGCCCGAACCCCATTCTTCTAAACCTGCCATTTCCAAGCCAGCACAGGGTGCCTGCACGGCAGGAGTCCAGCGCTGGCAGAGAAGAGAAGCTTCCCCCTCCGGCCCTGCAGGCACAGAGCCCAAGGCCTCTCACCCCAGGGACCCCGCTGCCCGGCCCTGCATCAGCCCACGTGAAGCTGGTCCTACCCCAGCCAGGCCAGGGCCCAGCCTAGAGCATCCCAGAGCCGGTGCCAGGTGGGAAATGGGGACTGGAGAGGCACCGCCCACCCACCTGGTAGTTCATGATGGCGCGCAGGCACATGATGCAGACGTGGACGTCATCCTTCTGGCTGACGATGCGAGAACTGCGCAGTGTCTTCCTGCTGTGTGCGGGGGTCAGCCTGGGGCAGGGAGGCAGCGGGTCAACCCAGGCCCCACGGCCCCAGTACAGGGCACCTTGCTCAGACCGGGCCGGCTTGAAGGGTGGGCGGG